GGGCCGGTCAAGGACAGTAGTTGGAAGTTGTGCGTGGAGTCCGAAGAGATAGGAGAGGTGCTAAATGAATATTTTTCGTCAGTATTCATGCAGGAAAAAGACAATGTAGTCGAGGAGAATACTGAGATACAGTCTATTAGACTAGACAGGATTGAGGTTCATAAGGAGGAGGTGTTAGCAATTCTGGAAGGTGTGAAAATAGATAAGTCCCCTGGGCCGGATGGGATTTATCCTAGGATTCTCTGGGAAGCTAGAGAGGAGATTGCAGAGCCTTTGGCTTTGATCTTTATGTCGTCATTGTCTTCAGGAATAGTGCCAGAAGACTGGAGACTAGCAAATGTTGTCCCCTTGTTCAAGAAGGGGAGTAGAGACAACCCTGGTAATTATAGACCAGTGAGCCTTACTTCGGTTGTGGGTAAAGTGTTGGAAAGGATTATAAGAGATAGGATTTATAATCATCTAGAAAGGAATAATTTGATTAGGGATAGTCAACATGGTTTTGTGAAGGGTAGGTCGTGCCTCACAAACCTTATTGAGTTCTTCGAGAAGGTGACCAAACAGGTGGATGAGGGTAAAGCGGTTGATGTGGTGTATTTGGATTTCAGTAAAGCGTTTGATAAGGTTCCCCATGGTAGGCTATTGCAGAAAATACGGAGGCATGGGATTGAGGGTGATTTAGCGGTTTGGATCAGAAATTGGCTAGCTGTAAGAAGACAGAGGGTGGTGGTTGATGGGAAATGTTCATCCTGGAGTTCAGTTACTAGTGGTGTACCTCAAGGATCTGTTTTGGGGCCACTGCTGTTTGTCATTTTTATAAATGACCTGGATGAGGGCGTAGAAGGATGGGTTAGTAAATTTGCGGATGACACCAAAGTCGGTGGAGTTGTGGATAGTGCAGAAGGATGTTGTAGGTTACAGAGGGACATAGATAAGCTGCAGAGCTGGGCTGAGAGGTGGCAAATGGAGTTTAATGCGGAAAAGTGTGAGGTGATTCACTTTGGAAGGAGTAACAGGAATACAGAGTACTGGGCTAATGGTAAGATTCTTGGTAGTGTGGATGAGCAGAAAGATCTCGGTGTCCATGTGCATAGATCACTGAAAGTTGCCACCCAGGTTGATAGCGTTGTTAAGAAGGCGTACAGTATGTTGGGTTTTATTGGTAGAGGGATTGAGTTTCGGAGCCATGAGGTCATGTTGCAGCTGTACAAAACTCTGGTGCGGCCGCACTTGGAGTATTGCGTACAGTTCTGGTCACCGCATTATAGGAAGGATGTGGAAGCATTGGAAAGGGTGCAGAGGAGATTTACCAGGATGTTGCCTGGTATGGAGGGAAGGTCTTATGAGGAAAGGCTGAGGGTTTTGAGGCTGTTTTCGTTAGAGAGAAGAAGGTTAAGAGGTGACTTGATAGAGACATACAAGATGATCAGAGGATTAGATAGGGTGGACAGTGGGAGCCTTTTTCCTCGGATGGTGATGGCTAGCACGAGGGGACATAGCTTTAAATTGAGGGGTGATAGATATAGGACAGATGTCAGAGGTAGGTTCTTTACTCAGAGAGTAGTAAGGGCGTGGAATGCCCTGCCTGCAAAAATAGTAGACTCGCCCACTTTAAGGGCATTTAAATGGTCATTGGATAAACATATGGATGATAATGGAATAGTTTATGTTAGATGGGCTTCAGATAGGTTTCACAGGTCGGCGCAACATCGAGGGCCGAAGGGCCTGTACTGCGCTGTAATGTTCTATGTTCTATGTTCTATGTTCTATGGTGCAGGGTATAGTGTTATTTGTTGTAGTAATTCTCATTTTATATGGTTTGTTTTTGTTAATCAAATGTAGTTGCCAACAGTTGGTTTCTGCTGCAGCCCCGCAGGTTAGGCTCCTGAAAGATAACCATCCCGTGAGGCAATCTTTCTTTCATAGAAAGCCTATCTCATATATATAGTTATATACTTGCATACTTTGTGGTTCATTTAAGGGAGAATCACGAGGTGATTTTTAGGGATGCCCATGACAGAGCAGCACAAAATGGCCAACAGCTGCCCTGACAAACTCTGCAGAACATGGCTGACGGTAATTAAAGAGAGTGGGAACATGTTTTCTTAGTTTAGTCTTAGCAAGTAGAACAAAAGCAGGACTGTTTAATCAAGGTTACTGTCTGGGATGGAATGTACAGCTGCAATTATTTACATAGATAAGAACATTTTACCTTGAGGTGCTGTTTCTCACAAATTATTTAATTAACCAGTTACAATATTAAGAGTAGGTTTTAGTTCAGACCCTTAAGATAATCATAGATATAGATTCCAAAATAGTTTTAGATCCACATATATACCGAAAAATCACCAAAAGAAAATATTCAGGCAGTAGAATTGCGCCCCCTCCTCTTATCATTAAAGTCTGTGAAAACATCACGACTGTGCATAGACCACCAGCCTGTCCATCTCTTTAAGATTCTGTACCAGAGAGCCAATCACAGAGGGATAACCCGGTGCCGCTAACCAACAGTATCAAAAAGGGGGACGTGTGCGGTCTAAGTTTTTTTTAACTGTATATAATCTGAAGTTTTTGTGTCCTACTGCAAAGAAAATCTGAAGCTGTAATGAAGTTGTACCAAAATAAAGTTGTACCGGAATCTACTACTGGACATGGACTGTCATTGGATAAATATGAGATTTAACAGCTGTCGACAGTTTGATTTTGACAACAAGAACCCAGTGGACCATGAGAATTAATCTAATTTTATCTGTTTTTTTAGACATTGGCGGACAAGGGTGATTTCCTTTTACCTCTTACAAAAATATCTCTGCAGAGTTTTGTTATCCTTTACTTGGTGTGAGTCTGATTGTTTTGGGATTGAAAAGGAATATAGTTCTAATTTTGGATTTTAGTTTAGATATTAACCAGTCTTACTTATTTTTAGAAATGAGTTCTGGTTTACAATAAACAAACTATATTTGAATTCATTGAAGAAACCTGGTAAGTCTTTTATTCTGGAAAGCAGAACAAAAAGGAAACAATGAACGTTAAAGCAAAACATTTGATGGTGCAATTCCTACAGTAAAGGGACTTGGATTACCAGCATAGTCATAAAAATTTGTATAAATCAATCTAAATTTAAAATATTCATATGCAGTTTTAAAAAATACATATTCAAGCTTTCTACAAGTTTAATGAGCTATAGTAATAAATTTTTTTATGCTGACTCCAATTTATAATGTTGATTTGATGATATGCAGTATCTCATTTTAGTAGGGGTTATAGTAAATATTTAGCTGTTTCAATTGCTATGCACAACAATGATTGCATAAGCAGTCTATCCTTTGTTTTTAAGTATTGTTAAAATGCCAATTTCAATTAATTTGCCATTTTATAAAGGATTTACATTTGCAAACAGATGTCTCGTTGTTGTATAAACCACTCAAACTACATCATATATTTACAATGACAATGAAAAAAATATACTAAGCACATATTCAAATAGCATCGGATATCACACTTAAAAAGAAATCTCATTGCATTCTCATCAAATACAAATTTAAAGCTGATCAGTAGAGACTGTTATTTGACAAGACATATTTGTTAAATGGACATAGTCTGTACAGATGTTTAATGGTCAATTTGACATGTGTCAAGTGGAGTTCAGAGAAATGATTCAGCCTACTTGCTGTAAGTTGTACCCATGAACATTCATGATATCCAGATTTTATGAATTTACCATACTGCTAGTTAAAGCCAAGCAGTCTGAAGTGAATGGCCTTGGCTTGTACTGTATTATTTTGTGATAACTTCATATATAGCTTCTAACGCATAAGCCACTCACCAAAGTATGGAATAAATTGTAAAGTGTGGAGCCATTTGAGGGTTTAGTCCCCTTTACCCTTTTTGTTACTTTTCCTTTTTTTATGTTTGCTCTTTTGTAATGTCAGCATTCTTTTTCACTGCACCCTCATTCCAGTGACCAGCTCATTCTTTAAAAATGTGAACTGAGATGACTAGATCCATGCATTTATAAATGGCTCTATTGTTCTTTCACAAAATTACTTTTGGTCATTTTTTTTTGTTCTGTAAACATTTGTCATCTTGAAATAAATTTCTTCAGGTATTGCGTCACCCAAGTGACTGTATTTTGAACCCAGGAGGTAATTTGAGCCTCACCTTCTAACATTTTCTTAATATTCACCCACCATTTCTCTTAGTTCATCCAACATAGGTTAAGGGATGTGATCAGAAATGGCAGCTCAATCATATTTCCTTGAATACTGTGTCCCAGCTGGGTTCAACTGACTATGTGCAGTGATAGCAGTACCATGCTAAGTGTTGAATTTAGTCATTTGGAAGGAATGTTGTTTATTGTCCTACTGCCTGTGATGTACAGTGGGTTTCAGAGGAGGATGTTGGGCTGGCCTACAGGGAAACACTTATGAACATGAGCATTGGTATTTTGTGCACGGAGTTCGTTGTCACCCTCAAGGAGCAAGGAGGAGTCTGGCTTCAATCTGGCATGTGGTACCTTGCTCGTGTGAAAGTGACGGTAAAGTCCAAGACAGCATTCAAGGGCCCACCAAAGTGCAGCATCAGGTATTTGCTATCTCAGCTTCTTTCACAGTCCAGGAGAAATGACCTGTCCTTTCAGAAAGACAGCATTCGTGTTCCTACCACTGCCATGCTGAAAGTGTCCCTGTATTTGTTGAAAGGGCCAGAAGCCCAGTCTACTTTGCCTATGCTAATTTAGTGCAGTCTGAAGCCAAATCCTCAAAGCCAAAAAATGCCTGAGGGTCTACTGCAAAGCCATCTGCAGGGTTCCCCAGTGAAGATCAGCAGACTAGACTTCCATGATTCATGCTTCAGAGGTCAACCCGCAGATGGTAGTGTTCCCATTGTTGTCTGAAGCAGGATATCTCTGAGACCCCGCAGACTCCTCAACCGATGTGCACAATATTAATTTACTCAAGAACCTTAGCATATATCCAGAAAGGACTACACAGTACGAATCTGCAGTCAGTGAACCATGATGCAACTTTATTTGAAGACAACAAAGATTAAGAATTTAAATTTTACACTTTTAACAAATCTATTGCTAACTATCCAATTCTTCACAGACTTGAAATACTTCCCAGATACTTGTACTTTTGCTGGTCTAACAAATTGTTCAGTCCATTCCTCTCCTCATGGGTTGATTCTCTCTCTCTCTTTCTTTTTCTCTGGTTGAAAGGCGAGCTTCTCCAGTCACTGCCATCTCCCGAGGGGCCTCTAGGTCGGGTGGAGAGTGCCCACCACACCCCCCCACACCCCTCACCCCCCACCGAGTCCTGCCAGGCTGGGTTCTTATACCCTGCTAGTTACCTTCCAGAATTTTCCAAGGACTTGACAAATCAGAGGGTTCGAATTAATTGTCTTTATTATTTGAAATGCTGCTGCTAATGGCTCTTGATGGGGGGAAGTTCATTAACGAAGCACTTGAAGATGGTTAGACCTTGGACATTACCTTGAACTCCTGCAGCGATATCCCAGGGCTGAGTGATTAGCCTCCAAAAATAGCAACTATCTTTGTGGCAGATATGATTGGAAACAATGGAAAGGTCTCGCAAACACAGTTTCCATTGATTTCAATTTTGAGAGGTTGTGTTGATATAAAGTACAGTTATGCTCTGTTCACTTCTGGAACTTTGTTCTTTTGTTCATGTATGGAAAAGGGCTGTGATGAAGGCTGGAATTGAGTGCTGCTAGTGGAACCAAAATGGAATATTGTTGAGCAGGTAATTGCTGAGGAGGTGCTGTTCATAGCACTTCTAATAACATTTTCCACTGCTTTGCTGATTGAGATTAAACTGATGGAGTGGCCGTTGGCTGGATTGGATTTGAGCTGTTTTTGTGAACATGGCTTGCCTGTGCAAGTTTCTTCATTGTTTGATAATACCACTGTAGTAGCTGTGCTATAACAGCTCGGCTAGGGCACTGCTATATCTGGAGCAAAAGTGACTTCAGCTGGGCTGTTGTCAGGATCATTACCATTTCCAGCATTCAGTTTTTCAATCATTTCTTGATGTGATGTAAACCAAGGGATTTATACATGTAATTTTTAATGTTATTTGTTGTGAATTTGGATTTCTGGTTTTTGAGTTAAGAGCCAAAGGGTTTTCTTTGTGTCTGAAATTAATAATTAACTTGCAGGCATTTCTGTAACTATGCCTATTTCTTCTAAAGCGTTTTTGAGGCTTGGCTTTAGAGTCAATGGGTTTTGTGCATTACAAATGGATTTTTGCTTATTTAGATTGTTTTGAAACCAACCTGGCATATAATGGCACCTTTGTGTTTGTTGGCGTGTTCTGGGACTATCTTTTTTAAGCTAAAGGAAAACATCCAATGGTGCGAGAGACGGAGAGAGAAAGAGAGAGAGAGAGACTTATAGTTTCACTTTTGACTTGAGTCAGTCCTGTTAGTTCCTTGGAATAGAATGGATATGCAGAAAAGTGGTCCTGAGAAAGGAGGGATATGTATTCTGAAGAAGGGTTACCGGACCTGAAATGTTAACTGTGTTTCTCTCTCCACAAATGCTGCCATACCTGCAGAGTTTCTCCAGCAAATTCTGCTTTTGTTTCAGATTTCCACTATCCCCAGTTCTTAATTTTTTTGCTAAGGATATATAGTAAATTAGATTATCTTAAAGCAAAGAGTTGGTGTTAATCCCAGACCAGAAGTGTTGGAAGATGTTACTTAAAGCTAAGCACACTTAAGCGTGATAGCTCAACGAGAAAACTATCTGCAGATCCAGTCTAAAAGTTCGAGTCACAACTGAAATCTACTAAGGTACAGGGACTCTGGTATGAGTACTGCATGAGTGATACTTTGGGTACAACATGAAATCTGTTTTATTTATTTTCATAGAATCATAGAATCCCTACAGTGCAGAAAGAAGCCATTTGGTCCACTGAGTATGCACTGACTGTTCAATGAGCATCCCACCCATATCTAGCTCCAACTCCTCCTCCCTGTAACCCCGCATTTACCATGGCTAATCCAACTGGCCTGCACATCTGTGGATGCTATGAGACAATTTAGCATGGCCTATCCACCTAACCTCCACATCTTTGGACTGTGGTAGGGAAACCAGAGCATTTGGAGGAAGCCCATGCAGAATAGGGAAAACTCCTTTCAATCTATAAACGAATGGTTTGGGATTATACTTCCATTGTGTGTTTGAAAATCTTTGAAATTATATTATAAATAATTTGGATTATTCTATTTTTCTTCATTTCCTCGGTTTATTGTTTTATTGTTAAAACAAAATCTGCAGCCTTGTATGCTTGTGCTTCCCCTTTATTAAAATTAATACAAATCAGAATATGATCTATCAGGCCAGGTTCCTGTCTAAGATATGACTACAACAGCTGCAATCATAACATTGATATCACAAGGGGTGGATTAAATTGGCTAAACATTACCATCTAGGATGCTGGGCGCCTCAGGAAAAGACTGAGATGAACGACCCAGTCAGCTCTTCTGGCTGAAGATATTTGGGCAAATGCTTCCTCATCATTGAGAGTGGAGATATTTGTGGAGACTCTGTTTCCAGAAAACTGTTGATTGTCCATCATCATTCACGACAAGGTGTAGTGGACTGCACAGCTGCAGAATCATAAGCTATGTCTGGCTGAGTAATATTCTGGCTGAGTAGATTCATTACAATGACAAGTGGGGCAGCCATCCATTTGGAATCACAGCAAATATTGGATGTTTCTCAATGTTCCTTTTTAATGGATTAAAGTAACAAAATGATATTTTGCTGTATTGCTATCCATGTGCATGCAACTGTTAAATGTGTTTTAGCTGGCTGAAAGAATCACCTCGATAATTTTCATTTTGAAAGTATTGATCTGCCACCATTCAGTAACCATTCAAATCTGCAAACAAGTTCTGGAGTGAGAGTTTTTTTTACTTAATCCATTTTCACAAAAATGTCTTTACTTCTTTCCAAAGTAGCAGTTCTTTTGTAATACTTGGGATTAAACAATTTCTTATCGATGAAGCTAAGTTTGCAGTCAGCTAGAAGTAGATTCTGGAACAAGCTACTTATCCTTAATCCCTGAAGGAGCAATAAGCAAAATTTTTAAAAAAAGAATAATTAAACATTTTATAATGCAAATTGAATATTAATCACTGGAACTCAGCCTAATATAGACCATAGTTTTCTTGAGATTTGTAAAATGCAATCTAGTTTAATGGTAAAAGAAAGTTTTCTGGTTCTGGCAGAGAGCTATTGTGATATTGATTAACCTTTGTCTGCCACTAAATATCCACCCAGAGTCATAGATTCATACAGCTGTACAACATGGAAACCCTTCAGTCCAACTCGTCCATGCCGACCAGATATTCTAAATTAATCTAGTCCCATTTGCCAGCATTTGGCCCATATCCCTCTAAACCCTTCCTATTCATATACCCATCGAGATGCCTTTTAAATGTTGTAATTGTACCAGCCTCCGTTGGCAGTTCATTTTATCCATGCACCACCCTCAGTGTGAAAATGTTGCCCCTTAGGTCCCTTTTAAAACTTTCCCCTCTTGCCTTAAACCAATGTCCTCTAGTTTTGGACTCCACTGCCCTGGGGAAAAGACCTTGGCTTATCACCATATCTGTGCCCCTCATTATCTTATAAAGTTCTATAAGATCACCCCTCAGCCTTCGACACTCTCAGGAAATTAACTCCAGCCTATTCAGCCTCTCTCTATAGTTCAAACCCTCCAACCCTGGCAACATCCTTGTAAATCATTTCTAAATCCTTTTGGTTTCTTCTAATCATTCTCCTTTGTTACAAAGATTACACACAAAATGTTACATTAGTTTTGGATTTATACTTCTTGAGAATTTGAGGAGTGATAAAGATTTGGAAAAGAAGGTGGCATAACAATTTTAATCAGGGAATTTAATAGTATTAGGATGTAAGGATGTTCTGCAAGTTGTGTTAAGACAAAATTCAAATGGGTAGAATTATGCAATTGGAAAGAAAATTGCATATCTTTTTGGTGTGCTTTACAAATTGCAAAATACCAGATAATGAAGATATAATAGAGCATGACATCTATAGACATTTCAGAGAAATATGTAAGGACAACAGACAATAATAATGTGATTTTAACTCTTTCACGATAGATTGTATGTGGTCAAAATAAGGAAGTTTTTGGAAAGTGTCTTAACCTGCTTCCTGAATTGATGTACCTCAAGACTAATTTGCAAATTTGCTTGATTTGTTTCTTGGAATTTAAAGATAAATATATAATCTCAGGAGGACAAATGGGAAAAGTAGAACAGGACAATGAAATATCAAAGAAAAGGTTACTGTACTAGTTAAAAAAAGTTAGTTCAGTGAGATTAGATGGGACAGAAGCCAAACGACTTGGGCTGAAAAGGTTGGACTAGAGTAGCAAGGAAAATCAGGAAGAATGCAGAAACTTGTAGTGGTGAGGTAAAGGGTCATTAGAAGAATGTGTTGTCTGGATTGGAGAAAAGCTAGCAAGTGTGCTATTCAGAAGCAATAAAATGCTTTGATAAAGGATTATAGATTTCCTTGAGAAAATAAACAAGAAAAGCTAATTGCTTTCTCTCTTCCGTACTTAAAATATGTCACTAGAGGTAAAAGTGAATAAGAATAATAGAAACTCAATTGCCAAGAAAATAACTTTTTTATGCATTAAATCAATAAGATTTTGTTAAATGGTTATCACAATTATACAGTCCAAAAGTAGAGTGAGAAGAATTGAGCACTTGTTTATTACCGCTGGATGAGTTAGAAATTACTTTTGTGAAGCCAAGTTCAGACTGGGATCAAAGTCTGTATTGGCTCCAAAACCCCTTAATCACAACAGATTAATTAAAATAGTAAAATCATTATACATTGCATGTCATTCATAATTAATGACTCATACATCTTAATTTATAGTGTCATAAAATAATAACTTTCAAGGAGTTTTGATAATTATTTGACAAACAGTTTTGTCAACATGTGGAGTCTATTTTATTACATTGATTTTAAGTGATTTTAATCAGTTTCATATCAGTGTTGGACATTTTGTGATCCTATACTATTGGTTCCATGCCTGTGTCACTCTGTTGGTCTTACAGAAAGATCAATTGTTAGGGCTGAGAACTATGTAAATAAATTCTTGAATGCTCATTCAGGAAAGAATTCCAGCTAAAAGCCTAGCCTCCCTGGCTGGCTTACTATTCAATTGAAACTCAAACACTTCAGCATTAGGGATAACAACATTCTCTTCTGTTTTTAGAGTAAAGAGAAATGTCAGTTAACAGCAATGTGATTTGGAATGATGAACAATAGCCAGTTCTTATTTTCTGAAAAATTTAGATTTCTTTAGTAAGTATTTTACTATTCCAGATTTTCCAAGAGCAAGGCTTCATTTCAATTTAATTGAAATACTTATAAGTGTCCAGATAGGTTGTTTTAATTTTCCATGCTAAATGGTCAAAGAGAAACTGATAAAAGGTAGTACTTTTTCATGAAAAGTAAAATGTTTGCTTTGATTCTAAAAGTACCAAAATTAACGGATATTGACAATTCTTATTACATATTTGAATTGTGACGATACTATTGCTCTAAGAGGTGTATATTTTCTTCTGGTTTTTTTATGAAGAGAAGTTGAGACAGAGGTGAGCGTGGTCTGTTCCAAGCCAATAAAATAAACAGCTTGTGAGGCCTTTGGATTTTTTAAAAGCTGGATCGATAGAAGCAGCATGAAGAGGTGGGGTCAAGCTCCCACAGAACCAGGATTTTAGCTAACTTGCAGCCTGCTACAGCAAAACACCTCAGTTCTCTCTCTATCTCAGAGTTTCTCTTGATGTTCTTTCCTCCTGGACTGGAGAATTACATGTGAGACATTATATTTTACTGAATTTGTCCTTGCCAAGGGTGTGTTTATGGGATGTTACTATATTGGAACAGTTGCTGCTTAGTAGTTAAATAATCTATTATTTTGTTAAGTTTTCCAATAGAGATGTTATTCCATTTCTTCTTTCTTTTGTTTGCATTTTAACTGTAGTGCATGTATAAAGTGTGTTTTGCTTCAAGCCTTGTAGTTTGATCAATCAAATTGCATCTGTAACACAATGCCTTACATTTGCATTTAGAAATACAATAAAGTTGGAGTCTAGGCTATCTTCTTAGTACATTTTGAGGGGATTTAGTCTGGTCCAAAATAAAGTATAATAGAAATTTGAATTCTGAAATAGATTTACATTTTCTCAGGTACAAAGAATATGCCATTGCTTTTGACATAGTTTAAAGTAATATTTTACAATATATCTTGGTATATGTATTATTAATAGGCCACTAGCCTTATCGGTTGACAAGACACTGTATTTTAATACACCTTTAGATCTTTTGGCCTTATTATCTTTCAAGTCTAGTATTTATTTGAGTTATTAATTTTATTTGAGTTAATTAACAGACCAAAAGAATTACATGCTGCACTCTTAGAACTATTAAGTATATTCTAACTTCTTGAACAAAGATTTAATTTGTGTCAACTATTATATGTTTGGTTTAATGAGATAGAAGACCCAATCATATCCTTACTAAATGGTTTATAGTTGATAAATGAGTTAGACTTCTTCCCTTTGTCTTTAGCTTGAAAAGAATCTTCCTTCCAATTTGCTGCAAGTGTGTGCTGTTAACTGTGCAGCAAGGGCAAGAGGGCATCTGGTTAAAGACTGCTCATCAAGGCTCAATGAGATTTAGGGATTGAGAAAGAAACAGAATGAAAAGAGTCAGATCATGTAGAGAAAGTAGGATAGGGAAAGGAGGAATGGATTAAAAGAGTAAAAGATGCAATAAAGAAATTAAGAATTTAAAATCTGTAAATTTTAAAGAATTGACTGTATGTAGGAATGCGACTCAACAGTTTTTTGTGTCAGGTTGAATTTTGTATTTCCTTTTAATCGGAGGTGAGTGTTGCTGGCATGCCCAATATTTGTTACTCATCCCTAATTGTCCTTGAACTAATGGCTTTAGTACCTGTGTATGTACATAAAGACATTTTTTTATGATTAAAGTATATCTTTGCAATAAGAAAATTCTGATTACCGTCAGCGATGGGAAGACGATGACCTAGTGGTATTATCGCTAGGCTACTAATCTAAAAACTCAGCTAATGTTTTGGGCATGTGGGTTTGAATTCTACCATGGCAGATGGAATGCGTGGAATTAGAAATGTAGTGATGACCATGAAAGCTTTGTTGATTGTTGGAAAAAAACCTGTCTGGTTCATTAATGTCTTTCAGGGAAGGAAATCTGGCATCCTCACCTGGTGTGGTCTAAGACCATAAGATAAAGGAGCAGACAGGCCATTCAGCCAATTGAGTCTGTTCCACCATTTGATCAGGGCTGATATGTTTCTTAACCCCATTTCCTTCCTTCTCCTCATAACCCTTGATCCTCTTACTTATCAAGAATCTGTTTTAAATCCACTCAATAACTTGGCCTCCACAGCCCTCTGCAGCCATGAGTTCCACAGATTCACCACACTCTAATTGAAGAAATTTCTCCTCATCCCAGTTGTAAAGGGTCATCCTTTCACTCTGAGGCTGTGCCCTTGGGTCCTAGTCTCTGTAAAGATTTTCTCTACATCCACTCTATCGAGGCCTCTGAGTATTCTGTAAATTTCAGATTCCCTTTTATCCTTCTAAACTCCATCAAGTACAGACCCAGAGTCCTCAATGGCTCCTCCTATGACAAGCCCTTCATTCCTGGGATCATTCTTGCAAACCTCTTCTGGACCTCCTCCAAACCCAGAACATCCTTTGTTAGATATGGGGCCCATAACTGCTCACAATATTCCAAATTGTATTAATTGTATTATAGCTCTCTTGAAATGAATGCTAACATTACATTTGTCTTCCTAACTGCCAAATGCATGTAACCCCAGAACCACACCAATGTGGTTAACTCTCAAATGCCCTTTGAAATGACCAAGCAGGCCATTCCGTTCTATTAATCTCTACTAAGTCTCAACAAAGAAATGAAACTGACATACCAGCTGGCATCGATCTAGGCACCAGAAATGACAATGGCAAAAACAATCCAGTTGACCCTGCAAAGTCCTCCTTACTGACATCTCAGGGTTAGTGTCAAAATTAGGAGAGCTGTCTCAGAAACTAATCAAGCAAAAGCCTGACAGACATACTTAGGGAATCATACTTTACAGACAATGTTCCAGACACCACCATCACCATTCCTGGGTAGTTCTTGTCCCATCTGCAGGTCAGACCCAGGAGAAGTGGTGGCACAGTGGTATGCAGTCAGAAGGGAGTTGCCCTGGGACTCCTTAACATTGATTCTGGACCCCATGAGGTCTTGTGGCATCAGGTTAAACATGGGTGAGGAAACGTCCTGCTGTTTACCACATACTGTCATCCCTTGGCTGATGAATCATTACTCCATCACATTGAAGAACAATTAGAGGAAGCACTGAGGATGGCAAGGACACAAAATGTATTCTGGGTTGAGGATTTCAATATCCTCCACCAACAGTAGCTCAGCAGCAGCACTACTGATCGAGCTGGTCCTAAAGGTTATAGCTGCCAGATTGGGTCTGCAGCAGATGGTGAGGGAACCAACAAAAGGGAAAAATATACTTGACTTCAATCTTACCAATCTGCTGACTGCAGATCTTCTGTACATGACAGTATTGGTAAGAACGGCCATTGCACAGTCCTTGTGGAGACAAAGTCCCATCTTCACATTGAGAATAGCCTCATTGTGTTGTGTGGCAATATCACCGTGCTAAATGGGACAGACATTTGAACAGATCTAGTAATTCATGATTGGGCATCCATGAGGCACTGTGGGCCATCAATAGCAACAGAATTGCATTTGAACACAATCTGCAATCTCATGGCCCAGCACATCCCCCATTTTATCATTACCATCAAGTTAGGGGATCAACCTTGGTTCAATGAATAGTGTAGGAGGGCATGCCAGGAGCAGCACCAGGTATACCTTAAAATGGTGTCAACCTTGTGGAGCTACTAAATAGGATTACCTGCATGCCAAAAAGCATAAGTAGCAAGCAATAGATCTAACATACATATCTTTGGACTGTGGGAGGTAACTGGGACACCCAGATTAAACCTACGCAGACACAGGGAGAATGTGCAAACTCCACACAGATAGTTGTCCAGGGTGGAGTCAAACCCGGGTCTCTGGCACCATGAAGCAGCAGTGCCAATCACTGAGCCACTGTGCTGCCCTCTTGTTGCCTTCCTCTTTATTGTTTCACATAAAGAGTCATTTACTGAAAAAAAATTGTCTCTTTTAAAAGCCATTAGACAAGCTGTTTATATCTTGCATTTCCTGAGTTTTTTTTGTTCATTCAGATTCATTTTTCTAAAAGAATATATCTACTTACCAACCAGGCTGCTGAGCTTGTTTTACAAATACTAAAATGCCCATTTTTTCATTTTCTGCAAAGCCATCAGGGTAACTCCTTCTTCAATCTGTTCATAGTCATGATCACTGTCATCATCTGACTCTGTCATTTCAGTGAAGGGAAGAGGGAAGAACTATTAAAGTTTAACTATCTGACTTTTCATAGGTGATCTTAGCAAATGCATTGTGAAGGAGGTTACATTCTCTTCACAACTGTCAGTATTAAATGACATTAAATATGCTACCATATCCAAATCAAACCATAATCCAAATTGTATTAATTGTATTATAGCTCTCTTGAAATGAATGCTAACATTACATTTGTCTTCCTAACTGCCAAATGCATGTAACCCCAGAACCACACCAATGTGGTTAACTCTCAAATGCCCTTTGAAATGACCAAGCAGGCCATTCCATTCTATTAATCTCTACTAAGTCTCAACAAAGAAATGAAACTGACATACCAGCTGGCATCGATCTAGGCACCAGAAATGACAATGGCAAAAACAATCCAGTTGACCCTGCAAAGTCCTCCTTACTGACAGCTCAGGGTTAGTGTCAAAATTAGGAGAGCTGTCTCAGAAACTAATCAAGCAAAAGCCTGACAGACATACTTAGGGAATCATACAAAGTACAAAGAACTTCCTTACAACAGTCCTACATTAGCCTTTCACCGTTTGGCACCTGCCTTACTATTGTAAATTTGTTTGAATTGTTTTCCATACCTACTTTATTTTTAATTATTTTTCACCTTGGACATTTCTGTAAGGACAACAGTCAGAAATCTCTTTCAACAGTGAAGTGCCCAGATTGCTCCAGTCTTTCTTCATAACTCAGGCTATCAGCTTTGGGAAATTAGCTTTGTTGTTCTCTGTTTTCTAAATTCAGTATTCCAAAGTCTCCACATCTAAAACGCAATACAATGCTTAACATATAGTTTGACCAGAGCACTAAGAGTGATTTCCTTTTACTTGTATCCTGCTGTCTAGCTGTGTGGTTCACCCATCTCTTTGGCTTGTTAACTGTTCCTTGCAGTGATTAGTTTTGTATTTTGAAACCTTTGGATCACTTAATTTCACCCTTAGCCACTTCAACACTGTCCCTGAAGTATGTATGTCACCCAAATTTTTGTCACATGCTTACTTGGCTTAATTAAATTTAATTTGCCATAACTTTGTAGTCCTTGAGCTATCTGTACAAGACAAAGTGCCCTTCCTATTATGAGGCTGAAAGAGTTAAATAATGAAGATAGGTTGGATAGTTCGGGGTAGTCTTCCCTTGAATATGGAGGATTAAATGGTGATCAAATTTATGTGTTTAAAATTATTAAAGCAATTGATAGAAAGAGACTATTTCATCTAGTCCAGAATAAGTTGATATAATCCTAAAATTGGAACTACCTGGTTCAAGTATGATGCCAAGAAGTCCTTCACATGACAGGTGGTGGAAAAGTTCAAAATTCAGATTTTCGTTAAGTAATGGTATTAAAGGTTATGAAATCAAGTGAGATTAATTGGTAATTTATTTATGCTGAACTAATTGCAAATACCTGTACCGTGTAAAGAATAGAAGACAAATCTAAACCTACTTTTCTATGTATGAAAATGAATTACAACATATCTTTGAATAATAACCCTGCCCTAAATTTGATTATATTTTCAACAACCAATTCAGAGATGTTATTACACACTCAAGAACAGGGGTATCTTGAACCTATATCTCCTGGTTTAGAGGTAGAGACACTACCACTACATCACAAGAATCCCCTGACCTAAATCTACAATTGAATGAGTGCAGCATAGGAAACAGCTCCCCCTGTCATCCATGAACTTCAATATGTCAACAATAGGTCATCTATCACCATCCCACCTACCTTCCCCAGTCCCACTCCTCCGCTCTCTATTTATTTCCCAGCTCCCTTCCCCCTCCCCATTTCTGAAGAAGGGTCCTGACCCAAAATGTCAACTTTTCTGCTCCTCTGATGCTGCCTGGCCTGCTGTGTTCCTCCAGCTCCATACTGTGTTATCTCTGACTCCAGCATCTGCAGTTCTTGCTATCTCAACAATGGATGAAGTGTATTTACTAAATAGGGTGACTTGTGGAGTATTTATTATCTATGTAATATATGCCACAATAAACATATCATTTTTCATAAATTTCTACTGAATATATTAATAAATAATATTAACACTTGTTGTTCTCACTTGTTGACCAGACTCAAAATTTTAAAAGGTTTAGAATTTCTCAGCCAGAAACAAAATATCTAATGAATGATGGCTCAAAGATAATAATCAATTCTCATCATCATAAGCCAACAGAAAACACATTTTGTTGCCATTTTTAATGGCTAATTTACCAACTAGAAATTTGAATTTGTCAACGAATTTCTCCATGTAGTTAGCAATGTGGCAGCTTTGTGCGAGAAACAAGATGATGCTAATTTGGTTTGCTGAGCTGGAGAAACAACTGCCTTATAAATGCCTGAAAAGATCAATTATCACTCATTAAACATAATACTTTTCTGACTGCTCAACTTACGTTCAGGGAGTACAGGAGACACCTTTGTTTTCCCTTCTTGCACTTTGGTATATTCATTAAGAGCAACTTGTAGAGGTTGCATGGAAGGGGGTTTTCTCGAACTTGGTAGCATTGCTTCATTCTCGGTGATGATGTTACGTTTTAGGGGCATAGGAATTCCCTTTGAGAAAGAATGAAACAAAACATTACTTGACCATTTTTATGATGTTTTTATTTATGTGTTTTTAAATATATATGCACTCTTCATTTCAGCTCCTCACCTGAAATCATTGATTCTTCCTGGGATTATGGTTCTAGAAGCATTTACAGATCCTCAGCATCTCAGCCATACTGCACACATGGATACAGTCTGGTGATGAATAACAGTATACCTATGGATCTGACTTCTACATGGTCAGTTTCCAGCAGGTTATCACTGGGGAGTGATGAGGGCAAAAGTGGCCTGGCTCACTTACACATTCCTAGCCCTTGTAAACCTAATTTGAAAACAGGAAAATCACAGCCTGAATCCAAAAGCCATGATTGCTGCCCCAGTTCACATCAGCTCCCTTGGCATAGACAGGGATAACATCTGGAAGTTTCCACTTTGTATGATTTAGTATGATGTATCTATTAGGCTATATAGGAATTTTTAATAAAGTGATAAACAACTGTCTCACAATCTGAACCACTCTTCTACTTTTGCTTTAAAATCTCCAAGGTTTGTGCAAGGTATCTTTGTGATTTTATTTTAATTCCCATAGATGAGAGTTCTAAATTGCAATAACGATGCTTTAAAAAATTGTGACCTTTTGCATTTAAAATGGTTGACACATTTCAAAGCTGCTCATCTACATTTGTTAAAATATTTCCTGTAAATTCTCCTATTGTCAAAACTCTTGACCACACTTTGTGTCAACCTGTAACATTCACACTATGGTTGAAAACATCTTTAGAGTGAATTCTGTGTATAAATAGTTGCATGCAATACTGTAGTAATTGGATTTAGCTAGTAAGTGGCAGAGGGTTTTGAACTCAATCCCAGCACTATCCCCTATACAAGAGGACAGGAGTGATGGCACAGGCAATTTATTACGATGTCAATACATCTGGATGAGGTGAGGTAATAACTTATCTGAGCAATACATATCAAAATTAATTCCATCCCCAACTGGAACACAAATAGATATACTTATATTTTCAACCCTGAAATTTGCTGACTGAATCATGAGCATGCAAATATTTCGATCTGTGTGAGAGAAAGCCCTTTCTTTGTTATATTGACCTACAAAATAATTTGATGTAAGTTAGCCCTAATGTAGAAAAACACAATCTTCATCACATCAAGTCAATCTCAGAGAACGATACAAGGATTATGACTTTATCTTGCCTTTTGATGAGACCTTTTCAGATTCTGACTAATATAATTGCTCTCTTCCAAAATAATCTGGCTAATGGGCTATAATTTACATGGTGTGTTCTTTTCTGCTGGTTGAAAGGTTAAGCGTGCCATCTGGCATTATATACTTTCACACAGACCAAGAAACTTGCAAGAAGCTATGCTGCTGTGGAGCCTGCCATCGGGTCGACCTGAGCATTTCGGCCTTGTGCCTGTCTCCTGGTCCTGTGTATAATATCTGGACTTACCCTCAGTACTCAAGGCAACTGGTGGCAGTTAAGTTTTCATGTATTCTTCCTTAGGGTGTGAGCACCACTGTCAAGGCAAAGATTTCCTGCACATCCCTAATCAGAGGACAGTGAAAAGTTAAATGTTAACAGACGTCTGAAGCCCTATGTAGGTAAGCCCAAGTAAGGATGGTAGAAAGAGGTACTGGCTCGAACGGTAGTGGAAATTCGCACATGGTCTTGATATTGGTGCACAAAACACTTTCATTCATGTATGGTTGGGTAACGTGAGAGAGAAGATTGGTGCTAATGGAATCGTACTGTAAAGTGTTTGAACTGAAAACGGAAATAATTATCAACTCAATTTGTTGCTGATTAACTATGAAATGGAGTAGCGATTTGTACGCTGGTACATTGAGCCCTGGGGATTTTTCATGAGCAGAATGACACAATGTACATGAAGACTGCTGCCAGATTGGGTGAGTATTTGCAGCAGCCTTTTGTTCTATTATAAGCTCCCAAGAAACCTTTCAAGCCTCTTTCTTAATTTTGTGGAGACAAAGCAGAGTTAAGGTTTTTGGTCAATTGACCCTTCTCCAGAACTGACTGTACCGAAGACAAGGTTGGTATATGTGATGAACATTTGACCGTCAAAATGGGGGTGGGGGAGTGGGGAAAGAGGTGTAAACATTAGTTGGAGATGGAGCCAGAGAGAGACAACAACAGTTGGGCAGACAAAGGAATGGCTAAATGTCAGCCTGGGAGAATCAACAGCTGCTAATGAGAAACTTTAGTGGCTGACAGTGGGTGGATGTAGTCGCAGCCTAGGTGATGACAAGGCCTGGTGTTGGTGTTGGTGTTGGGGTAAGGACGTGGGAGAAGATGCTCAGTCTGCAAAATTATTTAACCCAATATTGAGAACAGAAGGCTGCAGGGACTAAGTGGAAAATGAGATGTTGTTCTTCCAGATGGTGTTGAGCTTTACTTGAGCACTGCAGGAAGTCTAAGACAGGGAGATGTTAGCCACAGGAATCTGTGGTATGTTGAAGTCACAGGCAACCATGTGTTCAGGGTCATTTTTGCAGACAGAAAGTAGGTGTTCTGCCAGCCTGCATTTTGTTTGCCCATTGTACTGCAGACTGCATTGTGAGCAGCATATTGAGTTGGGATTGTGGCTGGCTTGGCTTCGTATCTGCACATGTGCTGCAGTCGATCAAGTTCAATAACAGCCCTGTTGAGATTAATCAATGAAACTGACTGGCCTGGGCAAGCGATGGCAGCCTGGTTGAAAGGTTTAGCGTGCCATCTGGCATTATATACTTGGGAGGCAGCCAGTGATTCAGTCTTGTCAGGGAATGGGATCAGTCATATTCCAATCTGCATAGAGACTCCCCTACTCCAACCTTTCCCATTAGATCACATGTCCTCACATACTCTGGTGGCTCTCGCTGAGCATTCTTATTTGTTAATCAAATTTTTAGCAATTTGCAATGAGAGTACGTCCATTTTGAATCTCACAACTCCCTTTAAATTGCAAGGTCTCTGACTCGCTCTCCACCTTACAGAGTCAGGCACCATCCTGGGCTGGATAGCGAACCGACCTCAAAGCCAATTATGCGTATATGCAACGAAAGTGCAAGTGCTGACGCATGGTAACGATCCAAAATACTCCCAATCCTGTCCCAAATGGAAAATTCATTTGAACTGGACTGTGCAGAAATTCTTTACCCCCAGTTAAACACTTCATATAAGCTTTTCAAATTGAACCCACATGTATTAAAATTAAATAAGTAATTAAAGTAACTTGAATTCAGCAGCTGAAGCTCAATCACAATGTTTATCACATCAAGTGAATCTCACAGATCTATACAAGGATTATGACTTTATCTTGCCTTTTGATGAGCCTTCTCAGATTCTGACTAATGTAATTGCTCTTTTCCAAAATAATCAGGCTAATTGCTTATTGTTTACATGGTGTGTTCCTTTCTGCTGGTTGAAAGGATTAGCATTATATAGTTTCACACAGACCAAGAACCTTGGTAGAAGCTTTATGCTGCTGTGGAGATTGCCATCGGGTCAACCTGAGCATTCTGACCTTGTGTATGTCTCCTAGTCCTATGTATATCATTTGGACTTAACTTCAGCACACAAGGCAACTGGTAGCAGTTAAGTTTTCATGTATTCTTTCATAGGGTTTGAGCATCACTGTAAAGGCAAAGATTTCCTGCACATCCGTAATCAGAGGGCAGTGAAAAGTTAAATATTAACAGAGCTCTGAAGCCCCATGTAAATATGCCCAATTAAGGATAGCAGAAGGTGGTATTGGTTCGAATGGCAATGGAAATTCACACGTGGTCTTGATATTATTGCACATAACAAATTTCATTCATGTATGATTGGATTAAATGAGACAGAAGATTTTTGACAATGGAATAATACTCTGAGGTGTTTGAACTGAAAACACAAATAATTTTCAACTCAATTTGTTGCTGATTAAGTATGAACATAGAACATAGAACATTAAACAGTACAGCACAGCACAGGCACTTCGGCCCACGATGTTGTGCTGAACTCTTACCCCAAACCTATGGTCTATCCATAATAATCTAACCTCCTCCCCTACCTTATACTATCATCCATATGCCTATCTAATAGCCGCTTAAATGCCCCAAATGAGGCCAACTTCACTACCCTCTCTGGCAATGCATTCCACGCCCCTACCACTCTCTGAGTAAAGTTGTTTTCCTGAGATTGCTATGAAAGAAACAAAACGAAACAGTTTTAAAAGTATCCTGTGATAAAACTAAATTACAAGTTGTGACACTAGCTACAATACATTGATGTGTTTGTTTGAAATTTCTCTTACGAAATTCAAAGTAATTCATTTATTAATTTGTTTCCAACAGCTTTCTGAATCAAGTTGTTTTCCATAATTAATACCCACTGTCAAGTTTCACAGTTTATGAAGATTGTGCTATGTTGTACACTCTTGTCTTTTGCGATCACTTGTACCATTGAGGGTAATGTACCTAACTACACTTTTGTTCCCTGTCCTGCTGTCTTTCAAATTGTCTCAAGGTCCAATTCCTCTTCATTTCTGTGAAGTCCATTGTGTTACAAATTGTATGACATTGTGTGATCTGCAACATGCACGTTGAAGATTTTTCATTTGCTTCACCACGATTAACGATCAAGACAGTTGTAAACTCTGACAGAAAAGCAAACGACTGCAGAATCTGGAAATTTGAAGTAAAAACAGAAAATGCTGGAAATACTCTCCAAGTAGATTTTAAAGATGCTGCCAGATCGGTGAGTATTTGCAGCAGCTTTTCGTTCTGTTACAAGCTCCCAAGAAGCCTTTCAAGCGTCTTGCTTAACTTTGTGGAGAGAAAACAGAGTTAAGGTTTTCGGTCAATTGACCCTTCTCCAGAACTGACTGTACCGAAGACACGGTTGGTATATGTGATGAACATGTGATGGCCGGAGGGGGTGAAGAAGTGTAAACATTAATTGGAGATGGAGCCAGATGGAGACAACAACAGTTGCAGACGAAGG